AAAAATTATCCAGAAACATGGATCGGCCGTGGAGGACCAGTCGCCTGGCCTCCACGATCCCCTGACCTAAATCCATTAGATTTCTTTGTGTGGGGATTTCTAAAAGAAAAAGTGTACCAGACTCCCGTAACCACAAGAGGTATGCTAATAGACAGAATCAGGAATGCATGTGATGAAATAAGGCTTTATTTGAATAATGCTATACCACGTTCGATCATTCGTAGATGTGGATTGTGTATTGAACAATTGGGTTTACATTTCGAGCAACTACTTTAGATTTTGTATGTTTGTCCTAACTATCCAATAGCATTTTAGTTGTAAATAATTAATTTAATTTGTTAAAAATAATATTGGAAAATTAAACAAATTAATATTCTGTTTTTTTGTGTTTATTTGGAGTTAGGAATTATTGCTGTGTTTAAAAACACAATATAAACGATCATATTAATTACTTGTAATGCCCAAATCGAAAATGTAAGAAAAAAACTTTATTTTCCCATAAATAATTAAAAATGCATCGAACCTTAAAAATCGAAATATCTTAAAAACTGCTAACTATAACGAAAACTCACAGGAGAGCTTTTTTATGTTGAAAAGTGCGGAGAATCAGTTTTTTTATTCAAAAAGCAAAAAATTGCACTAGGAAAAAAATTTCGGTCATTTTAATACACTACAGGTACAGTAGAGAGCGCCCTCTAGCGGATACAGTAAAACGATGCCCATGGTTCGTTTTGTCGTAACAAAAAACCCTTGTATACCAATTTTCACTGTTATACATCAAATATTGTTCGAAATATTTAAAAAAAACTATTTTAGAAAGTAAATTTAAACACCCTGTATTTCGGAAGCCACGCATTTTTTGACCCATGTTTATATAGACTTTATGTATTAATTTTAAAAGTTCTTTAGAATCTTAAAGTTATGCAACAATAAACTGAAACACCCTGTATATTATCAGAATCTTATTTAACTTTCGATTCATTCTTATGAGCTTTTTAACATATATATACATACATTAAGGGAAAAATAAGGACATAAATTGTGAAAATGAAACATTGAGGTTTTGGGTGAATTTTTAAATTTCAAAAGTGATTATTATGAGTATAGGTTTGATTAGCAGAAAATTGTGAGCACGAAAAGCTATTCTACGGTTATGGTACTGGTATTACACGAAAGGTGTCGACCTTGGCAATTAGGTATTTTGGCACATAGTTCCCATATAAAAGTGCTGATGAGTTATTATTCGAGAGCAGCCAGCGTGATGACGGTCTGTGAGTACAGGTCAAACACACTGCATATCCGTCACAAGTGCGGATCTATAGTTTGGAAAAAGGGACATAACGTAAAATATAATTAAGATCATAGTTTCTAAATGTACAAATGCTTCTTACATAGTTTTAAGTGTTTTCATAAGTCTTGAAAGAACTGGCGAAACCCTCGAAGGCAGAAACCTAAACGTACCTTGGCACATAACATAAAGATGTTGATAAGATTTTTGAACTGCCTTGGGTTAGTTTAACTGGGAGAAATATCTTTAGGCAGGTTGCACCACAACCTCGACATTCTGGGTATGATGCAGCGGTTATACCGGCCTGTTGTCGAGGTACAACGTATATATGGTCCATTTTTCAAGCCACCTAAATTTTAATGCACAGAGAAGAGTTAAACTAAACTAAATAAAACCATGATTCAGCAATCTTCTCGTTGCATATTGGAAGTGGGCATTAGAAGCGTAGATGTAATCCTCCTACATAACGATGAAGCGAATACTGAAATTACCGATCATTTGTTAACTAACTGTGCACATTCATAAAACTGTTTTGATAACATAATTCATAGTGTTCATATATATGCTCGGAGGCGGTGTTGCTGTCAAGTCCCTGCGGCTATTTTGATTTAATTTTTAAATCATAAGGGCATACCTTGCGTCTAAATCAATTTTTAAGATTAAGCCGTGATCTTTGCTGTTTTTTCACAATTCTACCCATAAAAAATATTGCATGCAGTCAGTGTAAGAAAAGAAAATGTCCAAAGCTTTCTCTTTTAGCTGTAAAAGTTGAAAGAATTTCGAGTAAGTTTTTATAGTTTTATTGGCCAAAAATAGGGGAGTACATAGATTTGTGCTTAAAATGGTCATAGAATTGCTTGTATAAAGGGTGATTCACAGGTCGTGACAAAAAATGAAGCATCATACACAGGAAAGCATTTCAAGAAGGATCTTCTATGTAACATTTTAACCTCGAGAGCTTCATTAAAAAGATACGGAATGTGGAAGTTTAAAAATAAAAAACATTTTTTTTAATATATTCAAAACCGTCAACTGGAATGAACTAAAATTTGGTATGAGGATTTACCTAAATATTGTTCACATTCAAAAGTCTTTACTTAAAATTAACGTGAACCAGTGGCGGAGATACAGAGAATTTCTATTTTTATTTCCAGTTCCTCTTGAACAGTATGCCGGACACCATGACCTTTAACTCCGGGAAGCTTGGCAATTCCATATTGCCGAAGTCTTAGAAATGCGTAAAAACCTTTGAGGTAGGTTGGGGTCTTTTAAGAATCTACGTTGGTACTCCCGAGAAGCCGCTAAAACATTTCCATAACAGAACCCGTAAATAAAAATAATATCGGCGTACTAATCATTGCTATATTTCATTTCACAACACTCAAAAATGGAAAAAGAAATTTTTGACTTGACTTTTACAAAACATGGCTTTAATAAAGTATGTCCCAAGAAACGTCAAGTTGGTACGAGTATCAAGGCGTCCTATTTTATTTGAAAATTAGTTGTATATCGGCTCTTCATGAATGATCTAATTTGTTTTATTTTTATTTTTATTTTCATTATTTTTATTTTTATTTTTATTTTATTTTTATTTTTATTTTTTTTTATTTTTATTTTTAATTTTATTTTTATTTTTATTTTTATTTTTATTTTTATTTTTATTTTTATTTTTATTTTTATTTTTATTTTTATTTTTATTTTTATTTTTATTTTTATTTTATTTTTATTTTTATTTTTATTTTTATTTTCATTTTTATTTTTATTTTTATTTTTATTTTCATTTTATTTTTATTTTTATTTTTATTTTTATTTTATTTTTATTTTTATTTTTATTTTTATTTTTATTTTTATTTTTATTTTTATTTTTATTTTTATTTTTATTTTTATTTTTATTTTTATTGTTATTTTTTTTATTTTTATTTTTATTTTTACGAAAGCAAAGCATTCTAGGAAAAATTGTTTATACAAAATTGAAGGTAAAATTCAAAAACTGCGCATTTTGAAAAAAAACAGTGGCAACTATTTTTATTTGGAAAAATAATGTCTCTAATTCCCTGTATCTCCGCCACTGGTGCACGTTGATTTTAAGTAAAGACTACAAGAGGGGGGCAATACTTAGGTAAATCCACATACAGAATTTTAGTTCATTCCAGCTGACGGTTTTGAAGATATTAAAAAAAAAATGTTTTTCATTTAAGAAACATTTTTCTTATATAGAATACCCCCCTTAAAATGCGGTCCTGTGTGTAATGTTTTATTTTTGGTCACGAGTTGTGAATCACCCTGTATATGGTGGTCCAGATTATAGGCATCCACATTACAGGTTACAGGTTCCAGGAACTTGTGTCTGATCTGCAACTTGCCGCATATACGCATACCTTCTCATATTCTTCTAGATTTGCATCCAATTCGGTTGACTCATTTTCGATATTCCGGACTGTGCCTAATAGAAAAACCTGTGGTCACAATCCAGGTATGCGTTTTCATATTATTCGATGGCGGAGAGTCACGTTTATTAGCTTTACAATTTCCGTCCATTAGCATATTATTGCGGTTTCTTAGTGCATTGGGCCACGGCAAAATTATGTAGTAAAATTTCAATAACGACAGCTTGTGAAAATATTACTTCACTCAAGAGACGCATTTTGAGTTACTTTTCACTTAACATATACCATACTTATAGGTAGGTATAGATAGATATATTTTATTTGTCCATAGATCATGCCTATGCATGGTATGGCATAAAGCGGAAACCTGTACATAATTAACTATTAGTATACATTTCCTGTACATACATGCATACATGTAAGTAAAAACAAAGACATGCACATATACTTGAAAAACAAATTTTACGATTTCTTAAAGTACATAGAATGACCGTTTAAATGTGGAGATAATAAATAGATAGAAATATGTAGGGGACACTCTACTATGGATAATAAAGGATCTAGAAATTTCGCAAATATTTTCGTTGCCTGGTATGATTCAGAATAATCCATTTCAACTCATATTCTCCTTTACATATACTGCGAAAGGTTGGGAAATCTTGAAACTGGAGATACTACAGACCAAAATTGTAAATTGACCTAAACACACCTTAGTTCAAAAGTTGATAGTTTGTGAGATACAGGGTGTCAAATTTACAGTTGACAGGTATTTCAGATTTTGGCATAAAACTCGGTATAGGGAGGTTTTCTAGTATGAGAAGCAAGAATCCGTTATTTTTTATGGTCCAACGCCACTTACAGCACTATTTCGGTAAATAACTTCATAATTTTTTTGTGTTACCCTGTAAACAACAACTGACTGAAAAATCTTATTTTCTCGTATTTCCACAACAAAAAAGGTTTACTTGGTAGAAGTGTCTGAAACTGATAGTTTTCGAGATATTTGTACTACGATGTTTTCTCCTTGATTTGAAAGCTGTTTTGGAAAGCTTTTACAATTTTACCTATATGAGCCCAAAAATACTTCCTCGAATGCTTAGAAATATTTATTCTATATATTTGCCAATAATTACGTGTCGGTTTTCGGGTAATTAAACAAGATATGTTAGCCAAATCAAATAAAGAAGATAAAATATGTACATACATATATGTACAATATTTATTTTTCAGATTTCACTTATACATCTGGTATGCGTTTATACTATTACCAGCAGTTGAATAAGTTATGCACCGACGTGTACTTATTGATCTTCCCTTCATTTCAGATATCAAAAAATACACTGAAACATCTGCTGACACCCACGGAATGGATATCGATATTAGGAAATATAGATTCCGGTAAGTGAGATGAGCTGTTTATGAAGTTTTAAGAAAGTTAGAACATTTTGACAAGAACGTTTACAATGACCTTCTCTACGGAATTGTGGCTTTTATGGCGCTTCCAGACAGGCCATACTTTTACATGCGTACAATATCGTCAGTCATACTTGCCTGATTTTGTAGTCCTTCCTTCTGATGAGAAATTCAGACCAGGTAAGTGTTACATACTGCAAATAAGATTGCCAAGATATTGTCGAGGTAAAGCTTATACATCACCAGGCCACAAATATTGCGACTTTTTAAAATAGCAGACCTCTGTAAATCAAAACTGCACACGTGTTATGTAAAATAATCCCTACGGTAAAGATCTAATCGCCATACTTGTCACTTGTGTACTACCAATACGCTAGCCGACACCACGCGTACTCACTGCTAACGCCACCTATAAAGAAATGTCACAACGGTTTATAGTTCAGAGCTTACAGCCTTTGTCATGGAAGTTATGAATGGCCTCTGGTAGTGCCATCTCTGAGCTAGATGTTGCATTACATCCGATGCTATACCTTAATAATGTTGACGTTTAGGCGACACCAACAGCTACTACAACTGAACATGACGAGGATGATAGCTATAGTCAACGCCAAACAAAGTGGCGTGCACGTCATCAAGGTGGGTGTGTTGAAAAATTTACATTGTTGCCAAAATTTTGTAAAATAATTAAATTTATTATTTACATATCTAGGTTTATAAGCAATATTAACCACAAATGAGAACAAAAATAATAGTATAATAAAATTATAGATCTGTACTTGCATAATCATTAAGTATGACAATTATTGATCAGATTACACTATGAAACTACCATATTTAATTGATAGCTTAAAGGTACTGAATAAAAATCCAAATGGGGTCCTCCAAATTTTATGCATGGTATTTATTTTACAGAATTCATACAGAAAAATGCATTCTAAAATTAGGTAAGCTACTGGTGTAAGCTTTTTCTGTACAATAAAGTTAGTCGGAGTTTCTTTCTTCAGCGCTGTCTGAATCTGAATCTTCATCACTCTCAAAGTTGATTATTAAAGGTTCGATGTCTGGTCGATCAAAAATTCGTTCTCTTTCATACCATTTAAAAATTTCTTGCTCAGTATGTCGAACACTATTTTTCCACATGTCTGGGGTAACCGTTTGTAGAGCCTCGTTCCACATATCCAAACAGTCTTTTTCACTGTTACCATCTCTACCAATATGTCTGTTATAGTAACCTTTTGCTATGCCCCAAATTAACTCAATGGGGTTAAATATACAATGGTATGGAGGCAGACGAAGAACTTTGTGCCCATGTTGTTCCGCCAATTCATCAATCACGTATATTTTAGGTGGTTTGTTTCTAAAAAAGCAGTTATTTTAAGAATAGGAATAAACAAAAGAAATATAAACTGTCGACCAAAATATATATAATTAAGAAGCATTATGTACCGAGCAACAATACTCAATAGCTCTGTTTTAAACATTGTGTTTAAAAATGGTATGTTTTGATTTGTCAACCAGTCTTGGATATTTTTTTTGTCCATGCATTGTTGGGCACTTTGTTCAATATCATGCTGTGATAAGGGGCGTTATCCAGTATAATCATAGATGGACTCTCCAATTTTTCTAATAACTGATGTTGAAACCATTTCAAAAAATTGTCCTGGTTCATCTCTCCATGGTAATCGCTCAATTTTGTTTTCGAAGAAAATATCGCTTCACTACCCTCAATAAACCCATTTTCATTTCCAGCATGTAATATAATGTATCTAAAATATATTAGCTTTAAATTTTATAGTGCAAATTGTGTAAAAGTACATACCTTTTACCATCTGTTTTAATAGCTTTCAGGCTTTTTTGGTTTCCATTTTGCCAAGAGCGACCTATGGTCCCATTTTGAAATATCCAAGTTTCATCGAGGAAGACAAACTGGTATAAGGCCTCAACCTTGGCTTGATTGTATTGCCTTAGAAATTCCACCCTTTTCAAAGCTATACTTGGTAGTTCCATGAGCCCTCGTCGCGGATTGTCCTTAAGCCACTTAAATCCAAGATCTCTAAGCAACCGCCTTAAAGACGTGGCACTACCATCAAATAATGCCCTATCTCTTAATCGAGACCATAAAGTTTGTATCGTAACTTGTTCTTCTGAAACCATGTGTAATATGACATTATAATTTAGTTAACAAATTAATGCAAATTTCTGATAAGTTATTATAATAAGATCTTACTTTTGTGATACATATTATAGATCACTTCTCGAATGGCACTTGTATCCAATGTCGCTGTGTTGGTTACACGTTTAATATAACTCCGCTTTTTCTTGGGCGATTCTAAATTTGCATCACTTTTCACACCCTCGGAAATACGACTAACTGTCCTTAAACTAATTTTTAAAGCAGCAGCAACACGCTACAAAAAATGAAATAAAATTTCACTATTATTAATATACATTACATATAATTATTAGTAACCTACCTCTTGAACAGCATTTAAAGCATTTAAAGGCAACAAAGGCCCGTTGTTGTCCCTTTCTTGCTCAAAGTAGTGCATTAACGAGGCCACGAGTTCCTTACACCGACTATTTAACTGTTTGGGCATCTTTATATACCAAAATTGCCTTTATCTACTCGTAAAATGAATAATTTTGTTTTGAAACAAACAGTTTTTGATTTACAGTATGCGGGGCCAAAGGATTTATAAAGATTTGAAATGCCACAAATTGATTCAGTGTCAAAATTAATACAAATGTCAGTTCCCAGTTTAAATAAGTTTCAAGGTGACAATGTGTCAACGCTGCGAAATCGGTTTAGTGCGTTTACATGTCGATAAGTGATTGGAGCGTTTGCAAAACATTTTATTTCGCATAATGCGTCTAAATTTATCAGAAAGCAACTTATGTGATATTTTAATAACAATGTTTATATGACTATTAACCATAATAAGAGAGTAATGACCATTTTACAATTTATATATCACATTAATATGAAACTGCAATAGAGCAATTGTTTGTGATAGAAACCTAGGCATTAGGTCGGGGAATTTTTATCGTGATGACGTGCACGCCACTTTGTTTGGCGTTGACTATAGATCCAAAGTGACAAGTGTCCAGATTAGTATCCCTGCCATTTTGAGGTTACGTAAAGCTGCATTCCTAACGAGCACCATTCTGGAGTGGCACACTGTGCCGCTAAATGGAGCCTTCTTAAAACCCAAATCTATTATGTTACAATCCTTCAAACCGTTTAAGATTTAGCCTGTGAAATAAGGAATTTGAAATTATATTAAAACCCTTCAGGTTGTTTTTATAAGATTTTAATATAGCCATTACTGCTGGTACTACTAAGAAGAATCCTAGGACACCTTACCTGTATATCTAAATTCATCAAGGCCGTCCTATAGAACCTTCTGCATACATGGATATATACGAGTACATACCAGCAAAAAACATTGCTCTTCTTCTGAGGCAGTCGGATAATTAATAGAATTGGTGTAATAGGCAAATTGACAGAGAGGGCCAAGCAGGATTTTTGGTTTTCTTGCATCTCTTCCCGTACAAAAAAATGACTATGATTTTTTCATACCTGTGGGCTTGATATCAAGTTGCAAATGTAGCAGAGATTCGACAACAGAAAATTTTTACAATAAAGTATAGTTGACAGATATATTATGGAAAAGTAATATACATTTAGTATAAAACAAACCTTACCTGTAAGGTAAGCACCATTAGAGATTTATCAAATATCGAAGCATCAAAGCTAAAATTGTTATAAAAGCTTTCAGTATTTATACTCAGACTATAATAGTTGTGTTGAAGAATCCTTGGAGTGGGGTCCCTAATACTAGAGTCGTTTACCTTGTATAACTCACCCGTTTACCCACCTCTCTCCCTCTCTCTCACTTTATTAGTATAAAATTACATTTTTTTAAAAACCGGTTTGTCTGCGTGCTATCTTGGAATAGGGGCTGTTTCGACAAAAGGGAATTTCCATGCATCTGCCCCTGACGGTTCAACGATTTCTTCTATATCTAAAAAAACTGCTTCTGAAAGTTTTATTTCTGTAACACCAACTGCATTGACAAAAAATGGCGTCAACTAGGTAGACCCTATCGAAATGAGACATTGCATCTTGGACGAATTGCCAAAAAAACACAAAACAGCTGTCTGGAGTTCTTTAAGTTAGATCCTCCAAGAAAAAGATAGTTACGAACATGTGTAAAAGATAAATTAAAAGCATCAAGTCCATCAAACAGGTCTGTACAATTAGTCCATAACATTCTTCTCCTGCCCTAACCGTAGTAATGTACATTTGGCAACGTCGCGTCACCTCTCCCCAATGCACGATGCGTCAGACGCGGTACAGCATCCACAGAGCACCAGCGATGCGAGAACAGATACGAACACCGGCAAAAATTTTCTAATACGATCAGGATTCTGTGAAATATCAGAAAACGGAGTTTGTGCGATTTTTATTTTCTTAGTTATTGGCTTTATTCTTCGCCACCGGGCGAATTCTCAAAATTTATGAAGTTTTTTGTCCATGGTAGTAACTTTGCATCAAAATTTAATCCAAATTCGAGCAGTACTTTTCCAACTATAGGCGGTTCCAGGGTTAGCGGACATACAGATAGATAGACAGACGGAAATAAGTGATGTAGATATCGAACATCCAAAAACATAACATATCTTTTCCGAAATTTTGCGATTCTTCCTCGCCAGTCTGGTGTGGGATGTAAAAGGAAACAAGACGTCTATCTCCAAAAATATTTCACGACGGTTGTGAGCTCACATCATTGTAGGTGTATAAAAAATGTTCTATTTATTCTGCTGTATAAAAATAAGTTTGTAGATCAATTGATTGTTTCAGCAAACGAATGCCTGAGGATTACTTCCAAACTACAGACTGCTAAAAATAAGCTATTCCAAACCACTTTTTACTGCTGCACTTAAGTTTCCGAATGGCTAAATAAACAAGGAACAGGAAAATC